AAGTGAGAACTCACGTAAGAGAAACGGCTTGTAGATTTTATTTGTTTTTCAAAACTACATGTCGTTTGCAGCTTCACGTAAAAAAGGAAAAGTAATTATTTATTCGGAGCAGAAGAGAAATCAACGCCGTGTTTACAATTGATTCTGTTTTTATTTTTCACATTTTTTTGAGAAAGAAAAAATGAAAACGCTTCTAAAATGGTATTTAGCGTAATAAAGACAAAAAACAGAAATGAAAACGATTTTTTAGTTTAGTATAAAATGAGAGAGAAATGAAAAACGACTTTTAGTCGTTTTTCATTTTTTTGTTTTTATTTTCTCTTCTCTCGAGCAGAGAGAAAGAGATATAGAGACATTAATGAGTTTTTTATACTGAAAATAATTTTTTAATAAAACTACTAAATACATTTTTAAAAATGATTTCTGTCTAAGATCGAAAACGTTTTCATTTTTATTTTTATACAAAAAAATAAAATTATTTTAAAACGAGTTTCAAATGCGCCTCAAAATTTTATCCTCGCAACAGAGTTCGAGCTCTTCTCCTTGGCACCGGAAGAAAGCTGCAAAAGTTCCTCACTTCATATGACTCCATTCCTTCCATCTTTTTCTTGTTGGAAAGTGAAAACCATTCCTGATTCCTTGATCATAATAGAATATTTCCTTTTTTTTTTCTCTCTCTCATTAGAATTATGTTCACTTGTATATATGTGTATTTTTTTTTTAAAATTCCTGATAGCGGTAAATCTTATCAAATATATGTCAATAATACAACATGGTAGCAGTTGTTAACTTGTCAGCCTTGTATAAACACATAAAATTGACTCCTTCCAAAAAAAAAAAAAAAAAAAAAAACGCATTATTTTGGGGGGATGCAAGCCCCCCCCCTTTTAAAAAAAAAAAAAAAAAAAAAAAAAGTAAATGCACGTTCTAGGGGCGAATGGGAAAGGAAGAAGGTTTTAGAAGATTGCCCATAAAGAAATCTTGAGAGATCACAAAAGGACAAAAATTACTTTTTCAGGCTTGGATATGGGTGATCTCCACTGAATCAGGGAACCTATAAAATACGTAGATTTGCAAGTTGTGGGCATCAAAAAAGTACCAAGGAGATAAGGAAGGAACATTTCTGCTTTATTTGATTATTGTTTTCAGTTGTATTTTTCCAATACTTATGTCACATGGATGGCCTTTTTCTTTAAAAATTAATAATAATAATAATAAAAGTTAAGGTCTCTGTCTAATAAAACCTCCTATTAGACTAATAGAGTTAGTTTAGCGTTGAATCTAATTATAATCACATTAAATTAAAAAAATTATGTAAAATAAATAATTTTTTATATAAATAAATTTAACGGTTAAAAAATAGACCCATAGATACTTATTTTTTAATGTGAGAAATTTGCTAAAAATAAAGGAGATTCTGATCAGCAAATATGGAGCCTCAGAAAAATGTTAATAAATAATTGGTCTAGAAAGAGGTGTCTTGTGTAAAGCAGACAATCTATGCATTGCCACTAACTTTAAACATATTGGTGCTATGGTCGTGGTTTGGACGATTCAAGGGAAAAAATGGTTAAAATGAAAATATTAATATATTTCGATTGATTAAATTGTTTTGAACTTTTTAAAGAACACTACTAAACCAAATTATATATAGGCGGTTTGAGCTTATAAATTAAATAATGTTTGGCATGTAACAAATTAGAGTCACTTGTGTAAAGTTAACAATTAAATGTTGTTTTAGATCTTTCACCTTATTCAAAATTTGACTTAAGTCGTGAAAGTATAAAATAACATTAAGCTATTAAAAACAACACATATTTGCCTAAGATCTCTTAGTCTAGTAACACGGAGTTGCAAGTTTAATCCCGTGTTGTATTAAAAAAAATATCACATGTTTGAATATACAAAAAAAATAAAAACAAAAAGTATAAAATTATAAAAGAGAGAAAAATTCTAAAATTGCTAACCATGCTAATAAAAAAAAGGAGACTTCACCTCATTTTGAATGCTTAAAGTGGTGATATTTGCTCGTCCTTTTAGGATAATTATATAGCTTTTGGCGAACTTTACTATTTCTCAATCTCATGATTTCTTTATTTTCGGTTGATTTAGTACCTATGTTTATTGGTGCTTATGTAAGAACTGGTTGTCTTTGTTCTTTTAATCCACATGGAAGTGATCCCAATTATTATTATTATTATTTTTTTTTTAAAAAAGGAGACTTCCAAACCTACCAAATCTAACCAATTATAAGTCATTGGTGGTTTTTTTTTTTTGTTTTTTTTGTTTTATTGGTCTACAATTGCACATCTTTGGATCCAACAAGTACATGGTCCATGGATGAATTCCTAGCCGAAAAAAAAAAAAGGATGGGTGAATTATGCATGTGAAAGAGGATGGGGTTGGTTTGAAAAAGCTGCTAGCAAAGTCCCAGCTCACTTTAGCTATTTTTAACTGTATTTTATGAGTTTGCACACGTTAGGCATATATATATATATATAGTTATGTAACGCCTTGTTTTCATATCATTTTTTTCTTGGTTGCTTGTGAATTATATTTATAGGGTAGTTGGAAGAAAAGAAAAACGAGATTCCACTAATAAATTTCAAAGGTTAATATCTAATCAAATGGTTGAAAAAGAAGGTAATTTCCACAGACAAATCCATAATAATCAGTCACGTTATATGTTACATGCCACGTGTGCTTTCAAGCTCTCTATCAGCATAAAGCTCTGCAAGGGGCCCCTTAAAGTACAGCCAAGGTGTGAAGCGTACATTCTCTTTGCTTTGATTGCTATGTCACATGGCCAACACTTCAATCTCGAATGCATTGTATTTGTGGACCTCACTACTCTTGGCAGCCTGTCATTATTCATCATAAAGAACGAGTCCGTTCAGTTTGCTGATTTGAGTTAAAATGTGATTTTATATGAGAATTTTTTACTGTAGTAAAAAAGTTAAATGTAACTATTTCTGAGAATTTTTTATTGTAATAAAACTTAAATTCTAAACTCGAATCGGTGAAATAAACGGAGCCAACATATATACAAGTTAAACTATTCTATTAGGATTATGAGTTGACCCCGTTTGGTTCGGCTCCAAATTAACACAACTATCCAAAATTTGAAAGTTTTCCCTTAAACTTTATTTGTCGTAAATTACCCTCTGAATTCAATAAAAACATTGCAGAATGTATATAAATCGTTAAAATTCAAAAGAAAAACTCTTTTATACATGTGCTATGATGTTCTCTGATTGTCATCAGAAATTTCAATATCTTGAAACGATAATGTGTACAAGGGCATTTCTGCTTAAATACAATCTCATATGAGGAGAATATTATGATTTACAATTACAGGTTTAGGTCCAATAATTGAACTTCCAATACTAGTTCTTGTAAGGTCTTCACGGGATATATAAATTAAAGAGGCAAAAAATAAAAAAAAGTTGGAAGGAAAAGAAAAGGCTTGGGGAATTGAAGTTCGGCTCTTAACCGGATAGAATAGTTCAAAATCACACTGCAAATATGTTCTATCATTCATTATTGTCTCCGAGTCTTTTTAATGAAAGACAACACTGTTGTCTCTCAAGAATCAAGACTAACTGGGTGTTTGAAAATTCCCAGCTCTGTTGTGTCTTGATGGATTTTACATGATTAATAGTAGAACTTTATAACTTTTTTTAAGTATCAAATGAAGGCAATGAAAATAATAGACTATCATAAAAAGATGGATAGTTTACTCAATAATCCTCATGGCACCAACAACATTTGTAACCAGGAATCAGGCACCGCCTAAACAATTCTTATTATCATAATTTGTCACTTAGATATCTAATCAAGTCCAGTGTCTCTGGTAAGAAACCAACCTGACAAACACGAGGCAGAATACATAGTTGAAACTACAAGATTGATGAGCATGAAGAGCTAAAATAAATATGAATCTCGTATCATTTAAATATACAAATAAGCACGCACTTATAAAACATTAGCCACGCTATTTACTTAAATATATTGACCTTTTAATATAAGAAATCAAACATTAAAAAGCTAGTGCAAATACATAATGAGTAGACAAAGGTTCCTTGCGTATTTGACTGAAAACAACAAAAGACTAGTCCGGCCGTGTATCTTCAAACCAACCTGGCTTGTGCAAGCTCAACGAGTACTTCAGTTATTCCTCGTTGGAATTTGGAAGAAATATATTGGTCTCGTTCATTTCACCGATTCGAGTTTTCAATTTTAGGTTTTTACAGTAAAAAGCTCTCAGAAAATGTCACATCTAACTTTTTTTGCTACAGTGAAAAGCTCTCAGAAAATGTCACATTTCAGCTCGAATTGAAAACTCGAATCTGCGAAGTGAACGAGGCCAAAAACACCACTCAAGAGATGCCATTTTTACATTTATGTTATCTAATTGTACAAACTTAACATTTATATCACTTAATTCACCAGAAAATATTGAATATCCTACCAAATTATTTTTTTTCCTCTATAAAGATGACCGGACATCTCCGACTCCGATCTTCATATGGTACTTTGATAGAATATTAAAATCAACAAAAATAATAAGAAACTAGATGACATAAATGTAAAACTATTGAATTTTGGTTGCACGTAGATCTCGTTCATTTCACCTATTCGAGTTTAGAATTCGAATTTTACTATAATAAAAAATTTTCAAAAATAATTGCATCTAATTTTTTAACTATATTAAAAAACTCTTATATAAAATTATATTTTAACTTAAATTAAAAATTTAAATCAACAGGCTTAATTTTCTTGTGATTTGAGCATCTCTAGGCTCTAATAAGACATGCTTTTCATCCAGGCCAGGAAAGCATTTTGTAGGCTGATGTTGGGCCATTATCAGGCCCAAAACTAGAAGCTAAAGCGAAAGCCACAAACAACCAATCTCTCATTCTCCTCCGAGCCCGACCAACCAAAAGATTGAATAAAAAGATTTGGTTGCAAATTGAACGGTCATTAGTTTAGCAGCTTCTACTTCTCCCGCCATTGTTGCCTCTGCAACCTCAACATGTTAATGGCGTCTCCTCTTTGTCCTTCTTTTTCTTCTCTATCTTCTCCTTTTACTTATCACCACCACCACCAGGTAGATTCCTTTCCGACCTTTATTTATTATTATTTTCATTGGTCTATTGATCTCTGAGCCCTAGCTTATACTTTCATTGTTGTTTTCGTCTTTGCTCTGTTTGGTCTCCTAGAAAATGTAGACGAGAAAATACATAATGAAAGAAAGGATTTGAAGTGTAGGAACTAATTTTAGCGGAGTGCTTGTTTGTTCTACGAGGATATCACAAAATCGAAGTTTGATTTATCTTTTTTTTTTCCTAGGTGTTTTATTGCCGTATGAGAAAAACATCTCTTCTCCGGAGATGGAATTTTGGAATGCCTGTGATGAGGAGGCTCAAGCCGTTTTCTTTGACCGGTTTTGTGGATTCTAGAACAAGGTATGATTTACATACATTTGTTATCTACATCTTGGCATTGGATTGTATTATCTGTCTATAATCTATGCTATAACATTTGATTGCCATGTAAATTTTGTAGTTCTCTTTGGGTTGATGAGTTTTGTCTATTCCATTGTGTATCAAAAAGAAATTAATTAATGTTGCAATTGTTAACTAGATCACGAAATGGATGAGATGGAAGAGATATATGGTTGATAGAGTTTTTTAGTAGCAGTGGCGGATTCAGGGGTTGTATGAAAAAAAAAAAAAAGGGGACATGATTATGATCAATAAGATTTTAGGCACAAGAATCAAATTTCTTAATCCTGCCGGTTCCCCCACTCAATAATACGTGGCTCCGCCACCAGTCAATAAGTTTACTGGGAAAAAATGTCAGATGATGGGCCGTTGCAGTTGATGGAATCCCTTTGCTGGTATTTTTTTGACAATGAATAAGGTTGTATAGTCAATCTCGGTCAGTGCCGGATAAATCTTTCCGTTTATGTGAGATGAAGGGGTGTTCCTGCTAGTTTTGTTGCTTTGAGTTTCCCGCTTTGTTTATTGTAAACTGGAATTATGCTAGTTTAAATCATTTGCAGGCACAAGAAGCAATCTGTTTTCGCTTCCACAGCCCAAAATGATTCATTCATACTTTCCTGTTATCAGTCTAGGAATTTATTTTATTTATTTATTTTCTTTCTCTGAAAATTCGCATCCCAACCACTTTTATTTTCTTGAGAGAAAGGAATTATAGCAGTCTAGGAATCTTGGAAGGTCTCTCCCATCCATAGATGTGAACATGTTTCCTTTAGATACCGCAAGAATATTCGTTTGATTGTTACCTGTTAGACTACGCCTGAATCTCGTTAATGGGGCATCGGATAGTAAAATTGCGTGTTTGGGTCTAATAAAACAGGAGAACTTTGATCTGTGCAGTCAATCAAGATGCTGAGGAAGCATTTAAAAAGACAGTAGAAGTGGACAAGCTGATAGATAAGCTGAGAGATGCAAATCCAAATGAAGTATGTAGACTAATTCAGTTTTAACTTCTTAAGCAAAACATTTTTCACTTTTACGTATCACATTAAAATTGCGTGTTTGGGTCTAATAAAACAGGAGAACTTTGATCTGTGCAGTCAATCAAGATGCTGAGGAAGCATTTAAAAAGACAGTAGAAGTGGACAAGCTGATAGATAAGCTGAGAGATGCAAATCCAAATGAAGTATGTAGACTAATTCAGTTTTAACTTCTTAAGCAAAACATTTTTCACTTTTACGTATCACATTGTTTTTTTTTTTTTTTTTTTTTTTTTTTTTTCTAGGGAAATGGGTTTCTCAAATTCAGG